AAATACTTACCTTGAAGTTTTTTATTGTTTTTTATTCTTTTTGGAGGGGGGGGAGGGGTGGGAGTTTCACCTTGGAACACTAAAGAAAGCTTTTGCACATATGATTATCCTTTTTTTTTTTTTTTTTTTTTACACAGATGCATATTCACTAACGCAGCATGCAGCCTATTTTTTCTGTCATAGCAGATGGCATGTGTCTCAATATTACGGCAGTATTTCATTAACATTATGGGCATCCATCTGTTGTGCCCTCTCAGGCCCCTGTGGAGCACCTTGTTTTCTTGTTTTTCGTCACTGAAGAGGAGAAGAAAATAAACATTGTTAGCATTGTGTAGCAAAGTCGGCTTGGTATGCAAAAAATGTTAGCTGGACATATGTAGATAAAACCCACTGCTTTTAGTCATTGTTCACTAAGTTTCTTCTTAATGTGCTATTTAGAAACCACAGATTTTAGCAACTTTAAATAAATATGTGTTGTAGCGGCGCATCCGGCTCACAAAACGGGATGATAAGCAATATGTAGTTCATGAGACTACATTTCTTTCCAATCACCAATCTACTTGTCATTAATCCTGTCATGATGACACATTTTGCTGGACAATAAATTGTGCCAAAAGTTATTCCAATAAATGATATTGTTTTGGGACTATTTTTAATTATGGACAAAATGGAAGTACACCGTCTGAAAGATAAATAATCATTCTAACAAACATTTAATATTGGAACTGGAAGATATTTCAAAAATCCAAAATACACTTATGTATTTTGGATTTTTGAAATATGTATTTGTTTATAAACAATACAACAAATAATGGATATTGAAGTCTGTAAACAAAATTGCTCTTCAAAGAATGGGGCCAGTTGAGACTCGGGTACCAGACTGAAGTCTTTTTGTTGTCCAGTTAATTCACAGCAAATCTAATCTCAAGCACAGATTTATGTACATCCAGCAATATCCTGCTGATGGTGTGCAGTTATGTACCATGACCAACTGGGTTTTGAGAAGACAGAGCAGAGATGGGGAGAAAAACACAGAACCACTGATCCAGGACTACTTTCTATGTTTAAAAAATGCAGAGTTAATGGCAGTAATAGCTTGTTTAATGACTTCATCTGGGAGGGAAACCATGAGGCAATTAACCTTCATGCTGTGTTTTTATTTAACACTGCTTGTGCCTGGTAAAACTAACTGGTTGTCCTGTTTGGTGAGCAGCAGAACAAGGAGGCTGACTCAGTCTGTTGTAGGGACAAAAATGGAGTGCACAAACCTGTTGGAAGATGGTCCATCAACAGCACTTCCTTAGTCTTGCACATAAATTACCTCCCTACCAAATTTGGATATCTTTGTGGTTATAATTTTTAATCTATATATAAAAAATTTACTATTTTGATGCAGACTTTTGATGTGGGTATTTTTTTTAAGGTGGAAGGTCAAGTTTGAACATTTATCTGGTTACCCCAGGCTGCCAGATGTTGTCCATTGCCAACAACTTTCTTTGATGTGGTTACACTTACTGGAAACCACTATTCCCAGATGGGGGGAAATATCCTTTGCTCTTGTTGCCCTTAAGGGGAAGGGATGTAGTCAATCAGAAGTACCAAACTGAAAGTGTAAAGGAAAGGTGTTGACAGGGTAGATGAAAAGTGATGCGCATCAGGTTGCCTCTGAAGTGGAAAGGACCGTCCTTCATAAGCTTAACCCAAAGTAACCTTTTACAGATGATATCAGATTTGGTTTCAGAGTTGGATAGATAAGCTGTGGTCTGCAGACTTTTTAAATTCAGCATTGGTAAGCCAGACTTGGTGGCTGGTTTTCAACCCCGACTGTCAATCATTTGGTACATCTTTGTCGAAATATGTTTTTTTTTTTTTCTTTTTTTCTTATTTTGACAACCCAACCTGCAACAAGTGCTGGTGATATTTTTAGGAAAAATGTTACCGCACCTGGAAAGTCAGGTTGTGTCCGAAACAGTTTCTTAAAAAGATTAGATAGGCATCAAATTCCTTACCAAGAATGTAGTAAGTGGACATGCACACAGTTCTACATAATTGTCTCCAGTAATATTCACACATCCAAACTACACCAAAGCATCACATATTAGGTTGCTAAACAAATCTTATGTTTGACAATGTATCTGTGCTCGTCAGTTTCCAAATGTAATGGCTATTGATCCTTTAATATTTGTTTTATTTTTCTCTTCTTATCAGCTTTCATCCACCTACTTGGCCCAGCTACCTTACGGCCAAGACTCAAAGATTCAGACGTTGGTATTTTAAATGTTCATATAATACCCTTCATGGGGGGTTAGTCATATCTTGTGCATCAGTACATCCCTCTGGGAAAATGGCCATGCTGGACACATACACCTGAAACAAGCACTAATTCAGCACAGTGTGTGTGGTGCAGCTTTCCGTTGCCAAGTGCCTTTTGTTGACACAGGCTCTGCGTGGCAGAGACCCGTATAGCCGAGCTGTTTGTTGAATTTAGTCCATGCATTATTGGCTTCAGAGATAATGGAACAGGTTTTCCTGCTGTACCACAGAAACCTTTGTCTCCAGGCAACAGTTTGCTTTGCATGGAATGGACGTTTTTGATGTGTGGGGTTAGCTCGTTAAGGTCCGATCTCGGTTGTCACTGTGTTTTTAGTAACTTCATTATTTGATTAAAGTCTCGAGTATATTTTTAATTTTCACAACAAGAAAGCTTTGTCTGATCCGGTTATCTAATAAACCTGTGGAAATTATTCTGAACTTATTCAAAACTTTTAACGCCCCCAAAAATAAAACCCCAGCCACGTAAATGTTATCACAGAACTTAAAGTAATTGTAACGTAGATGTTCCTTTTAGATTAAGCTGCCTGTTTACGGGAAAAAAAAAAAAAAAAGTTGAGCAACATATCAGACATGAAGCAACAGGTCAATCCTAACAGCGAGCTCCCTGAAATTATGATTTTACTTTTTTTTAAATTATTATTATTTGTCCCATAACGCAGTTCACTGACAAATAATGAGATTTTGGTTTTCTTTACTGGCTGTGCTCTATGTGAACTGCTTCTGGGGAATTGTAGTGCAAACAGAATTTCAATAAGGGTTAAAAACTGCATCCAGGCTAAGTGATTGACTGGTGATGTAGCTCACTGTGTGTTTAGAATGTGTTTGATTGTATTTATTAAACAAGAATAAGCTGCAGTATGTTTAGATTGTCAGATTGTATACTGTTTTAAAATGTCTAAGTGAGAACTGAATTAATTTAGTAATGATCATATCACTGTCCATGTTCTCTGATGACTCTGCTTTAGGTTTACTTGTTGTCTCCTAAACTGAATATTGGACTTTTATCAGAAAATTTCAAAAGGACTTAAATTATAGGCTTGATTAACTCTTAAAGTGTCAATCAATAAGCTGCTGCAAATCCTTACATGTTGATCGAGCTGGCTTTATGTCTTAGCACCAGAAAAGTGACGGTGTCATCAAACCACGAACAAATAGCAACTTTATCATTAGAAATGTCAACTTAGGTGTGCATTAAAATCAGTCTTTCACTGTTCATGGCTGTGTGTGGATTAGACTCATAATCTATCATAGGATCACCATAGGACAGTGGAAGTCTTATGATGATGCAGCAGCTTCCTGCATTTAGGCCTCACATTTTTCTTCTTGTCTGTCTTCTTGATAGGCCTCATCGCAGCAGCTGAAATTTACAACCTCTGACTCCTGTGACAGGATCAAGGATGAGTTCCAGTTTCTTCAAGCACAATATCACAGGTGAACATATTGACATGCACTCACATGGTCACAAACACAAATATGTTGGCCTTACAAATGTATTTTTTCTACATGAAACTGAAACAGATTTTACAGTTATCTGTTGCTGTAATGACTTCATCTTGGCCAGAGGTTAGATTTATTAGAGATTTTTAATTTTTTTTTTATTTTGTCAAGTGATTATGTTTGAGCTTTATCTGACTCCAAATCTAGCTAATAACATACATGAGCGTTGTAGGCAGAAAGATGCAGAAGTAACTGTTCTGCAAACACATTCATTTTCTCCATCTTCAAATGTCTTCAGATCAGGTTCAGAGTAATAAAAGAGCTATTACCATGCTTAGAGATTTAATTTCTTCTAGCAAACGCTTAACCCCTTAGTGCTTGAATTTATTCAAAACTACATAAAAATGCAAATTGTGTCTTTGCTTTCAAACATTCTCAATTAAAGCCTACACTGTCCGTTCTGTCAATGAATGACTAAAAACACCCACTTGGCAGCAGCTCAAGACAGGGACTGAGAGGGGACATCGTATGTAAATGCTCTCGTATTCCATGAAAAATGGTAAAAAGCGGGACATTTTCATTAATCAAAGAAAGCCCTCCGGATGCGTCAGACAGAACGCGAAAAGTGAACATGTTCAGGGGAAAGAGGACGTTTGGTCACCTTAGTATATATAATTCAACTTGCCTGTATGGTTGTTCAAGATGTAATTTTACGCCAAGAAGTTTAATAACAGTCTAGGTTCAACCCATCTGCAGCACCGATTGCTTAAACATTATTCTCTGACTCGCACCTCAATCAGGCCCGTTTTCCCCTTGCTACTGATCTTTCTGTACTGCTTAAATACTTCTACATTTCCAGAGGTATGAGATGCCTCCAAAGTCCTGACCTTCATCCATCTGTTTGATAGCTGTTCTTTAGAGGATTGTGCCACAGGGTCTGCATCTCAGTAAAAAAAAAAAAAAAAATCAACTTTCTGTAAGGAAAGGAGACTTTGAAGCCCATCTTCCTTCCGGAGCAGGTTGGTTTGTTCCTGTGTACATCTCCTCCCAGAACCTTCCACAGACTTGGCTCTCCCAGGTACAGACACTCAAAGGCACATGAAAGCCCAGCGTATTGTGTGTAAAATCCCTGCTGTGGTCTGATCGCTCCTGTTATGCAGAGGATTCTGAAGCTGCATTAACGCCCTTCGTATCTTCTTCCTTGCCTTTGCTTTTGTTATTCCCATAACAGCGAGCAGCACCGTTTAACCCTCTTCAGAGAGTGAGGGTGCAGTTAAAAGAATGCCTCTTTTGTCTCAGCATACAGAACATGCATACAGTGCCTATTGACTCAGGAGAAGGGATGGGGTGGGGGGTCTTGGGAGCCACAAACGAAGCTTTGTAGCGCTCTACTGCTGCGCTTTGCTTGTCTGTTGCTGAAGACTAAAAGGCAAATGTACCGCAGGCGCTCCCCTGGGTATAGTACGAAGCATTGTACTTGTCGTTGTCTTTCTCTTTCCTCTCTCCCCCGCCCCCCCTCGACTCTTCCTGCTCCCCCCCCTGCCGCCTCTCCCCTCCCCAATTTCACGTGCATAAATAGATCAGGGAATACATAAATCAAAATAAAGATGACAGCAGGAGCGATTTAGAGACGGAAGAAGCGGCAATAAAACTCCATCAAAGTGTCGTTTGACAACGCCGGTGCAGACCCTGGGGCTGCTGAGCAGCAATCAGAGGAGGCACGGAGCCAATCCATGGCAGGCTGGCAGAGAGGACGCCAGTTGTCATGACAACTTGTTATACGGCCTGCGCGCATAAGTGGGGATAGCAGAAAGATTTTTATGTAGGTGTCAAAGGGAGCATTTTGGGAAAGTGGACACTGCTTGTTCGCACACTTCAAAAGGCAAAGGAACATCATTATCACTCACACTAAATACAGGAGTGGATCCAACCCCCGTTTCAGTGTTTTTAGGCTTAGCATTGTCTGCCATGACTCGAGCGTTAATTTACGATGTGAACCAACTTTTTATTCACATTCACCAGTAAACGCCTCATCTACACTTGAAGTGTTTTAGTAGTCTGGAGTTGTTTTTTTTTTCCCCACCCAGCATTTTAGTTAATCAGAGATGTGTGGCCTTCAGATTTTTGGGTCGTAAAAATTTCCATCATTCTAAGATTCTTAGTGACGACGTTATTCTCTTGCTTCATTTCAAATGAATAAACTCTTAAAGCAGTGAACTCGTAAACGCACTTACCGAAACAGATTTGAATTCCTCTGCCGTCAATGGATACCGGTTCTCAACAGCCTCTAGGTTCTGCTGCTTTGGGTTCAGCCGTGCTTAAAAGCACATACGATTGCAAACCTTCATGTGGGAAATTACTATCACATTTATTAGATACTTGTCTTTTAGCCCAAAAAGAAAGCGGGCAACTCCCCAAACCTTGTAATTCAAAAGAAGAGAAACAAAATCTCACAAAATACATTTTAAAAATTGGACAGTGCTATTATCTATCATTAGGATTAAATAATAAAATTAACTAAACTGCCAAACTACATATGTAATAAAATAACAACAATTCATGACGCTGTAGTAATTCAGTGCACAGTTTGCTGTGTTCTGACTTTTAATGATCGTCCTTCCCTGACTTCTTACGTCTGACATGTACCTCATAACTTGTTTAATTTGGTGTCCTGATGTTTACAACTATATAATTATAGGATGTGTGTGTGTGTGTTTGTTTTTTGTTTTTTTTTTTTTTCAGAAAGAAAATGTAAAGAAAATAATTCTTAGAATTCAATGCAAGCTCTGGCAGAATGTTGAACTGGAGCTTCCAGTCTGGTTTTAAGCAAGGCAAACATGTTTGCATCTAAATATTTTCTATCCCTAATGACAAACTCAAATTTTGAGAAAAGACTGAGCATTTGACTAAATCTGAAATAACAGAGGCTGGTGTGATTATTATAGGAGCGGCACAGTGAATGAGCGCACATCATTGGCTGAGTGCAACACGATGTTCAGTCTGCCAGTTAAGACTATTTATGATGCAGACTCAGCCAGCGCTCTCTGTAATCGAGCTGTCATTCGTGTAGACAGCTGAGAAGAACATCCCAGCATAAATATACACACCATCAAGCTCGCTGCAGACTTATCTCGAATCTAAACCTTTCCACCATGTCTCTGCGTATTTGGTTAAGCCTTACCAATAACTTGGAATAAATGACGCCCTCTGAGACTGGCAGGTTTTAACTGGATGCCTCAGTCAGGCACCATGTAGGGACTGTTTTTGTCATTTTTATTTGACAATGAGGCTGACTTGTTGACGTGTTCCCCTTTGTCACGCCGCCTCACATGACAACAGCGTTGACATGATTGCAGTTAATGGCTGTCACTGGGTCTGGGTTGCAGGGAATGCTATAACACCACTCTCAGGCGTTGTACTTCATTGCCTCGTCCCTGCAGAAGGAAACATATTTTATCTGAGCTAGATCCTGGAGTTCAGGACAGGTTTATCTCAGAGAATCAGAACTAGTTCAACCCCTTCCTGCCAATCAGCACCTGTCATCCATAGTGAAATGCTGCCACTGACTTCTGAAGGGGACGGTGATGATGAGAGTGGCAAAGATGATCCAGATTATTTGGGTGAAGGAGATGATGAAAATGTGCTGGTAATGATGAAAATGAAGGAGGGGGTTTTAGTGATGATGGAAGTAATGAGAGTGGTGAAAGAAAGTGAAATAGGTAATGATGATGAAGGGGGTTTGAAAAGTCACCTGGTGTCAGCACTTCAGAAGAACGACTGTCGAGCTGAATAACAAGCTGACTTTGTTCCCCTCTTTCTCCCTCTCTTTTCCCAGTTTGAAGCTTGAATGTGACAAGTTAGCAAGTGAGAAGTCAGAGATGCAGCGCCATTATATTATGGTAAGTTAACCTAAGCATAAGTATTCTGCACCAGTATTTTTTTTTTTTATTTAACCTTTATTTCATCAGGGTAAAAAAAACAAAAAAACATTTATCCCTCAAGGATAAAAAAAACCCTCTTTCAAGGGAATCCTAGCTAAGAAGCAGCAACAAATATAATGCAGAAAAATAAACATTTAAAAGAAAATGTCAAGCTATAGAAAACGGGTAAAGGACATGCAATCGGCCTCAAAAACTTGTAGGTTAGATTTAAAAGCAGTAAACTAGATGAGTTCAGTCAATCAAGTACCATAAAGAAGGAGCAGAGTGAATGAAAGCCTTCTTCCCAAATTCAGTCCGAGTCATAAGAGTCAACATTTCTAAGTGAAATTGTGGTACACACATATTCCGGTAGGAGTCCAAGTAGACTTTGATCATTGAGTTTTGTCAATTGGTGACCCTCAGTCTGGTTCACTTAGTCTCCCTGCTTTGGCAACTTCTGATGGCTTTTGACCATTTAAGAACGAAACTTTGACCAACATGTTTGCAGTCACTTATATTTTGTAAAAAAAAATTTAAAAGATGTACTTTTCATGTACTTTTTTAGATTTACCAATGTCAGCCCTTATGGTAAAAAAAACAACAAAAAAAAAACAGTCTCTGGCAGATGGCATTGTTGTGAGATATTCAACTTTTTTAGGTTCAGATTAAAATGTGTTTTAGGGGTAAGTTGTTTCCAGCTCCTTTCATTTCCATCGAGTCCATCTCCTCCTGCCTTCCTCTCTCTGCACACACGTTTACACACAAACAAAGATGTGCTTGCTTGCTCTCTGCTCCACCTTGGGGCTAATCTCATTGTTGCTAGCCATAGCTGTGTTGCCGTCTGATGTTTTGCCTCTAATTGATCCTCTGACTACCTTTAATCTCATCTAATCTGTGCTGCCGCACTGTTCTCTCCATCAGCAGCAGGCCAACAGAGAGACGCAAAATGCAGACACAATTGCTGTGCGTCTCTTTCAGGCACATAGTTTATTACACACTCATCATCAGCCTTTCGTACAGAACATATAGCTTTGAAAACTCAAATTCGAAAAAAGGTATGGACGATTTTTTTTTTAAATTGTTTTTAAATTGCATTTTCCATTGCACTTTGTATGCTTCATAACTTTAGGTAATTTATCATAGTGAAGTATTTCAAGCATTTAGAAGTCTTGTAAAAAGGCATTTACCCCAATTACCCAAGTTTCTATTTTAATGGTCAGGAAAATGTTCCGCTGAATGCTTCCTGGCCCCCAAGGCTGATGATATCTATACAAAGTAATTGGAGGAAAATAGTTTTTTTTCACCAATTTGCACTTGTATGTTTGTGGTGCTCTGTAGGATGAAATGCAACTTGCAGCTGCCTCTAGTGATGAATCAGAGGGGATTCTGCACAAACATGTTAATTTATTTGTGTTTATGTGTAAGCAGATCAAAGAAGATGACTCAGAATTTTTGCAGTTTGATGTTTTTTTTTATTTTTTATTTTGGTTTGAATTATAATAGTACCAGGTAACAGCCTGACAAATGTGGATCCAGGTCCCTTGGAATAAAACAAGCTCGTAATAAATATATTTTGGTGGAGAACATGTAGTGATATATTTGAACACAAGTTTAGCTTGGTGGTGGACTTCTAGCTGCAGTATGGTAACCTATCAACTTTTAGAATGAATGATTAACGGCAGAGAAAACAATGAGGTGATTATGAACAATAAAAAGCTGAGCTCTAATTATCTCACCATGATTATATCTTATGGCACAAAAAGCCATCCAGTGGTATGCAGTGTTTCCACAGGTTCTAACGCCCATCGGCAGCTTTGCAGGCTGAACGAAAAATGTATTTATGGCACAACAACCTTTGCAGGACTGTGTATGGTTGTATGTATCCCGAGTTGTAGCCATCATTCTTATTTGTTGCTCAAAATGTTTCTGTAAAATTAAACTGTAAATGCAATATTTCAGAACCCTCCCCCCCCCCCACCCACACACACACACACACACACGCTCAAACACACCTCCAATCCATCAGCGGCAGGCCCGTTCTTGTATCCCCACAGCCACCTCTCCTCTTCTGCTCTAATAGCATATCAGGTTGCCCCACTCCCCCAGCCAGTGGCAGCACCTCCATTTCCCCAGTGCTGTAATTACTTTAGGGAGCTTCCTCGTGGGCAGCTACACAGAATACAGTGTGTGTGTATGTCCGTGCATGTGTGTGTGTGTTTCTGTTTAGAAGGATTAGTGTGTGTGTGCGCGCGCTCTTGCACACGTGCACAAGACCCTGTCAGCATGAGATTGCACTGAAAACATCGGTGCATGTGTGAAAGAGCAATTGAGGTACATCAGTGTGTGGGTGTGTGTGTGTATGTGTGTGTCTGCGTCAGTGAGGGAAGTGTGTTGTTTGTTTTCCAGTGACAGAAGCAGACCCCTGCAGACAGAGTGGGTGATTAACAGGGTTGACGCCTGGAAGGTGGCCCTCTCATTAACAGGGAACGCACATACACACGTTCACACAAAGGAGGCTCTTTTTCTGCCGTCTCCTTTTCTTTCTCTGTTCCTTTATTTCTCTTGTTTAAATATGTTTGTGGCATCCAATTCTTTGATATGGAACATTAAGATTTCAAACATGTCATCTTGAGTTCAGCTCACTTTGTGGTAAAACAGCACTTGGTCGGATATTAACTCTAAAATTATATATTCACTTTAAACTAATGATGCCTCTGTCTACTTTTTGTCCCATCTACCAACCAGCCATTTAGGAACGGGCGTTGACTGATATCAGGGTCTTTTCCAGTACATCCTCAAATAAGCAATGCCACGAACAGTTACATGAAAAAAATCGGGAAACTTTATGAAAATTGGTGTTTTAACATATTTGGACAGATTAAACACTATAAAATGAAGAAAAGACCCTTCTGTCAAGACATTTCTGCCAAGAGATGAATTATTACATGTCCACATGACGTGGACATGTAAATATCTAATTGCCCACAGGTGCATCACGCCAGCTCTCAAAGATAAGGCCATTGTTACCCATTGTTATGAATGAGATTTGAAGTAAGTGTGAACATCATGGTGAGATCAAAAGAGCTGTCTGCCTCCCAAAAGAATGTTGTGATGGTTTGAGTCCGGCAAGGGATTTAAAAAGGTTGCAATACAATTTAAAGTTGGTCATTCCTCTGTGCGGAAAGCTGTCTCCAAGTGGAGGACAGTCTAAGTAACTACCAACTCGTCCGTCTTGCCATTTAGGCAAGTTAACCCTGGAAGATGCTAAAAGAAGTCTCCAGTCAGGCTCTTGCTACAGATGACGTGGAAAGACTCTCTACTGTTTTTGAGGTGTGCAAGGAGAAGATCTTTGCTCTTTAAGGAAAACACAAAGGCCCTATTGAATCTTGTTCGAATCGGCACGAAGAGTAGGACATGTGGGATAAGTTGCACTAAAATTTAATTACTTGAACATCAGAACAGACAACATTTTAATACATCATTCAAGGAAAATTACCTTCTACCGACTGTGAAACAAAGTGCTGGAAGAGTCCCGGATGAAGCTGCTTTGCTGGAGTAGTAGCAACACAGCTCAACATCGTAAAATCCATCACAATCGTGTGTCAGAGTGCATTTGAGGGTAAAAAAAAAAATTTTGAATAGAACCAAAACCTGCAACCTGAAAGAAAATTAAGAATATACCAGGAAATCCAGATGACTGGCTAAGAATTAAGAAATGATTCAGCTCTTGGCTGAATTAAAGTGCAGCTCTTTATCCTCTTGAGATGCCGTGAAGTGGTTTGAAACGGCTCTACATGGAGGACAGCGAGGAGTGGGACAAACTTACTTCACAATAATGCCACAGGCTGCTAAATTGCTACTATAATAGTCTCACTGAAGTTACTCCTAGGTGCTACAATTTCAAATGATTAAGCAATTTGTTTTGAATAACTTTACTGCAAGGTTCTTAACCATTACATCCATGTGCAATTTCACAAACTGTATTGGTCTATAATCCTCTTTTTTTATTCTTCAGGCGTTCCTCCAACCATTCTAACTTGTCTGAGCAGTTATTGTAAATAACAGGATCATAATTATTGACCTGCAGGAATGTAAATGCACAGCTTTCAGAAACCTTAGTAGACTCTAACAAATGCATTGTACATTTGGAATCCAAATTTACAATAACTACAAACTTGATTTGCAACAAGCAGTCACTGAAGTTTGATTTCATGTGCAAAAATTACCTGATTTTCTTTAAGTGCCTGTTTACTTTTAAAGCTGTTTTTGCTTTTTTGCCTTCTCTGTAGTACTACGAGATGTCCTACGGGCTGAATATCGAGATGCACAAACAGGTATGATTATTTTAAATCTTAATCGGCTTTTGCATTAAAGATGTTGCCATTATTTTATGAAATATGTTACCTGCATGAGATGCGTTATGTACATTTTGTGTACCAGGATGCCTCCATTTTTCCAAATCCATTTAATTTGCTGCAAAATAAGTGCTGGAGTCACTATTTGAATGTTGTTTTTTAAGTCTTTTAAACCACCTGAAGCAAACGAATTGGAGCAACAAGCATCAAAAGAAATCCGTAAGCTGGGAGTCATGGCATTTCTCCACTATCGCAATCATTTTCTGCAGAAATATTAGTTTGGTGGATGCCTTTAGAACTGTAGTCGGTGCTTGATTTAGGCTGGAAGGGAGGAGAGGATTATGTTTACGTATCGGTTTATTTGGCTCAAGCTGGAGGAGTACCCGGTAATTTATGCTCAGCCTGTAGGTGGGAGAGAGCGATTGGCCTCCAAAGGGCCAGGCCTTATCGGTGACCTCGTCTCCAGCTGCACACACACAAACACACTCAATCCCTATGACTGATGGTGCACACTGACAAGCTTATTGGCAGAAGCCAGCACACTTTGACAAATGGACTCGCACATGCAGAGAAAGTAGCAGCTTCCATGATTTAAAGAGCTTCACATTTATGCACCCACACACTCTCGGACGCTGGAAGCCCAAGACGGCCACTGTGATGCATGCTGGTCACATGCACAAACACGCACGCACTCAAAGCTGTGTGTGTGTGCTTGGTTAAAATTCACAAACACAAGTTGGGTGGAGCAATTTTTGTGTGTTTGTGCATGTTCCCATCAGTTTTTTTTTTCTTTTTCTTTTTGTGCATGTGGCATTGTATATTTGTTCTTGTACTTTTGTATTAGCTATCCAAAAGAAAAAAAAAAAAGTAAAAGTCAGTGTGTGGGTTGAGACTGCAAGTACAAGTCATAGTGTGTGTGTACGTCTGTGTGGGAAAGTGTGCCCTCTTTCATCGGTGCCTCAATTTATGTGTGTATTTCTGGCACGTGTTGAGGAATAACTGTGTGCTATTGTGGTTCTGTGCCCCTGTGTGTGCGTGTGCGCGCGTCTGTGTGTATGTGCGTAGTTCCTTTGTGCCCAGTATGAGTGGGTGCAGCGAATGGCTAGTTCCATTAGAGCGTTGAAATTGAAGGGGATGTGTGGAAACGAGTGTCGAGGAGCATTCATGTCTGGGCCTATTGTGCAGAGCCAGTCTCCCCTCTCCTTCTCCTCCTCCTCCTCGTTTCCCTCTCTCCACCGCCATCTCTATTTCCCTCTTTTTCTTTCTTTCTCACACATTGTGAGTTGCTCACAGTTGCGCCCTCTCGATCACTTCTCAATTCAGAATATGCCTCTCCACTCTTTTTGCTTTTTTTTATTTTTTCGCTCTCGTCTCTGAACATTTTCATTTTCTCTTAGAGAGAAAAAGCTAGACTGAGCTAGAAATGAAACTGAGACTTTGGTAGAAATAAATAAAATTATATATATATATATATATATATATATATATATATATATTTCTTTTTTTTTCTGATACTCATTTGATTTATTACTTTATTCCGTGTATCAAACATCTGAGACAGATGTTTCTTTTGTTGTATTTGATTGCTCCAAAGTGTGGACTGAACTGGGGAAATGAGAAATCAGTTTTAAAATACTTTACATACTGAACTAAAATGATAAAAATGTACAGAGATCTCATCTTAGTTGAATGTACTGTATTATACATGTTTTTACATTTAAAAACAAAACTACACCCCATCTTAGTCTTTGAAAGGTCGGTTAGAAAATGGAAGTTAAAAGATTTAGTTGGATCCTTGTGGAAGTGCATTGTCTGATTGTATATGTCGAAGCATGTTGACAAAGGAAAGTGTCTTTACAATATTCAGATCAGAAAAGTATAGTAATGCCTCATGAAATGCAGTAAATTTGAAAATCTTTACGTAAACTATTCGACATGCATCTGTTTTGAATTTAGCTGTGGTATTTACAATAGCTGAGAAGGAATGAATCATTTAGAAATGTCTTTTTCTAAAAAAAAAAAAAGATAATGTGTCATGTATACACTTCCATCTGGCAGGAAATAGTCCCACATGGTTCAAATACTGAACGTCGTCCGAAGACAAAACCAGAATACAGAGGAAGTCTGTGTAGAGTTACAGTTTTCCGGGCTGTCTTCTACACTTCCTTTAAACACATTTTAAATCAACTCGGACATATTTTTCACTCTTCTTCAAGTTCAATATCACAAAAGATGAAATCATTCCGGATGACTAAAAGCACAGCGATCAAAAGAAGCAGATCCAACCACTGCCACACTATGAGCAGCAAATCTTACATGCTTTGATTGTATTTTGTCCAGTTTTTTGTGTAAGACACTTTTTTTGTTTTTTTTAGTGATTAAATGCTCTAATAGTGCTTAGGGAAAGCAAGAAAGACGTAATTCAATAAAAAGTAGCAGTCATAAAGAAATATCTAAAGGAGAGACCCACTGGGAATAGAGATGACGGCAAGTTTGAAAAAAAAAAAAAAAAGACAAAAAAAACAGAAGCTTAGCAGGAAAAAAAAAAAAACAAGATAGTACAAAGGGCACTGAAAAGAGGAAGCTCCATAGATGGCACAGAGCGAGTCCCGCAGAGACATTTTAGAGATGTCAGGGAGATTGTACGTGTAATGACGAGCAGGGTAGGAATCGAGCGCTTGATGGGGAACCGCGCTCTGCATGTCTAATGATTGTTAGGAGGCCCTCTCTCTCTCTCTCCTCGTCGCTCTATGAATTAAGCTCTAACACAATTACTGCTGCTTTGCATATCTCAGACGGATTGGGTGATTACCAACTAAATGTGATAACAGACCTGCATGTAAGAAAGAAGGGGAATGTGCACAAGGTAAAAGAATCTGTGCGCCCGCATCTGTGACTGTTGTTTTGCGTTTGCGTGTCTTAATTGCCCGCATATCCACGATTTCTGGGCGAGGAATGTTGAGTACGTGCGATATAATTAATGGGGTGAAATGTCTGCTGTTTTAATAGATATGAGATGCTGGAGATATTTTTCCATGTTTGGGAAGGTCATATCAGATGTTTCCCATACTAATGAGCATGTGTGTGTGTTTTCTCAAAAGGCAGTTCACATTTAATCAGGAGATCAAGTCATTGCACTGCTTGTATTTTGTGTTTTCAACAAAACACACAGAGGGATTGAAACAAATCCGAAGTTGATCTACAACCAAGTAATAAGTTATTTGGTCAATATTTCAGAAAAGTTTCAAATTTGGATTGTCTTCAGTTGTAATTCAAGAGCTGCACGTAAAATGTGAAGTCCACCCAAAAGTAGGAGTTGTCATAAGTTAATGTTGTTATTTTTAGATTTGTGTTCATTTTTTTTTAGGGTTTGCTTATTGTTTTAACATAACATAGTTTAATCAGGAAGTAAAGAACATTTCACTTAATCTTCTTTTGCAATCCTACACTTTCTTGTGCAGCATGTTTGTTTGAGGACATTATTCATACTAGTAGTTTTGTGGGTTTATTAGAAATTTCCATTTTTATTAAAATGATTAATAATCTACAACAGATATAGGTTTACACTTTAACATTTGTACTCTTTAGTTTAGTAAATGTGTATTTGTCATTCCTCTGTTTGAAGGAATCAGTTGCCTAATACCGACTTAATGACTGATACAACTTCTAACCGTGCTAGAATGCTTTTGTCTTGGCTTGATGTTAAAAGATTTGGCTGAGCTAAAGTAGCTCTCCACTTTGTTCTTTCAATAGTAAACCAATCCTTTGTGTTACATTTATCCTCTTATTATTGCATTACACTTTTGAGTATCTGCACTGTGCTTCTGAGGTGTAAAGCATATATAATTATGTAAATGTCATTCAATTGTCAGCTATAAATCTGATACTGCAGCTTACTTAGGTAACCCAAACTGTAAAATACTCAATGAGCCTATGATAATCTTATTTAACTTAATGCTAGGCAAATGCTTTATCTTTACTGATGAAGACTTGGAGTGACCTGCATGGCATGGAAGCTGAATTAATTCAGCTAATTGACTGACTACTTGGAGGTACTCATAAACTGTAGAGAGCATTGAAATTTCAGCCCGAGATTTCCAGCTGATCATAAGTAATATAACAGACAGGAAAGAAGGTAATTATAATTCAAGACGAATCTTAATCCAGCAGAAGCCGTTGTGACAAATACTAAATGTCTTTAGAAAGTAAGGGGTCTTTATTGATTAAAAATTGAAACTCAAAATCTAATGGCATTGTTAGGTAGAGGTTTGTAACAATGCCATTGATACTTGCAACCAGTCTGCTTAGTTATTTTTACTTTTAATAACCTAATGTTCTGCATTATTTTTGGTTCTTTTTCTAGTTTATCCCACTTTCTTTTCTTTTTTTTTTTTTTTTTTAGCTCATCAGTCTTTAGTTTTGGTTGCAACTTTGCCATGGAAGTAAATTTTACTTCTAATCAAAGTAGAGCTACTTCCTGTACGGAACCAAAAACCTGCCTTCAGTCATGACGATGACGGAAAACCAGCATGAACAACTGACAGAAACTGAACCAGAAACTGTCTAAAGGGCAAATCATGTTTCAGGGTTTTTTCCATGTGCGCCTCTGTCATGATGTCAAAATCCTGTTTATGTAAACTCTGGTAACAGCAGAGAGCAGCATTTCTAATAGGATAGTTGGTAAGCTGTCCTCCAGCCTCAGCTTGCATGCACCCACACAGTCTTTAATAATAGTCATAATTAGACGCACTAATTGGAAGCACCTGCACGAATGGACGCACAGAGGACTCGCACACATTTACCTTGCACTTAGCAACAAAGGGGAAACCATAAATTTACTGGATTTAACTTTTTATAAGCTTCTAGAACCTGCCATATATTTATAAATTTGTTTAAAGTTTTATATTAATTTAGATTTTCGAAGACCTCCTCAATCCCACCGGCACGTATTGCCTAGTGACATTATTTGAACCTTTTCAGTGACGGTCTCCTTAATGAGATTCCAGTCTGATTGCTCTGTGTGTCGACAGACTCCAGCATTATGTGATACATTATGATCTTTTGGTCATTTTTTATTTTTTTTTAATAGATTTTCATGCTCCTGTAAATGAATGACAAATGATATATAATTAGCAGACAGAATAACTGATTGACAGAATAATTGGACTCTTGTCCTTCTAACCAACAGGCTGAAATAGTGAAGAGACTGAACGGGATCTGCGCACAAGTCCTCCCCTACCTGTCTCAGGAGGTAAGCGACGCATCTCACACATACATACACTCCGACGCACGGATACAGAGTCATCACCAACCCCCTGACCCGCAGTAATATTCCTTACATCCTGGAATGAGATCACCCTCATTCCCGCCTCATTACCTCCCCACCTCCGTGACCCTTCACTCGGCATCCCACTCCTCTCCTCCCGTCATTCATCATCTTCGGCTTCCCGTGTTCACTTCCAACTCACCCTGCCTGTCACCCCGCCCCAGCCTCCTCACCTCGGCTCGCCTCTGCCATTTTTAATCTGTAACCTTCCTCCCAGTTTCCTCCTCCCCCCCACTTTATTTTTGACCTCCTCTTCCAATTCTTGGCTTCCCTCAATTCTTCCGTTGTCTATCCCTTCTTCCCCCACCTTTCTTCCCACTTGTTTTTGTGTGTGTGTGTGTGTGTGTGTTTGTCAGTGTAATAAATGGCTGTGTGATTCAGATAAGCCATGCTCTTATCTGCCCACCAGGGGGTTGACCTCCACCTATTATAGCACACCAGTCAGCCATTCATTCACCAGTGTCACACTAGGCTTTTTGTGGATGTGTGTGTGTGTGTGTTTGTGTGTGTATATATATGACTGAATGAATAGCTAAACGTCCAGAGGGGGAGGTGCATCACCGGGGAGGATTGTCGGGGAGTCTGTTGGGACTGTTGATATTGATCTAACCTCTTAACCTTTCTCTCCCCCCAAACTGGCCTCCCCTTGTTTCTCTCTATCTGTTATTGTCCGCCTCACTTTCTCTGCTCCTCCCTCCGCTCCTCCTCCACACCTCGTCAACACAAACTCCATCTGCAGCACCAGCAGCAGGTCCTGGCAGCCATAGAGAGGGCCAAGCAGGTCACCCCTCCAGAGATGAACTCCATCATCAGGGTAAGATACTCCAGTCGCTCAGCCCCACCCAGGACTGTGATATTGACTAGAAAATGCAAACAATATTGTGGTTGATCAGTTCTTTGTTTGATGTTCTTATTATCTTATTGTTATACTTCTATTTTTTTTTTATTTTACACACTTAAGCGTTTATGCTCCTCTCATCACAGCACTCTGATGATAAATACCAGTGCTGCTCAGCCTTTTATACTTTATGGATAATGGCTGCATTCTCAGGAGGGAACTGAGGCTCATTGGTTGGTGGTCTGCCATAAGGTTGTCTTTTGTAAAAAAAAATTTCATGTTTTTTTTCTTTTTTTTTTCTGGGGAGAACCAAACAAAAACCAAATAAAAACATGCTAAGAATAAGAATACATTTAATTCCAAGTTATCCATAGCCCTGGCAGAGGGCTATGGATTTCAATTTAAAGTCATCTTCTGATTTAAAAAAAAAAATGATATTAACCTTTCGTAGTGGCCCAGACAGAGCCTTGACTTGACTGAGAGAATCTAGGGAGCTAAATATGAGGGTATTGGCAAGGAGGCCTTCAAACCTTATTACTAAAGCTCATTGCTAAAGATATATGATCAAAATACCAGTGAAAACATGTAAGAATCTTATTGAAAAGTTTATTAAATTTTTTTTTTTTCTTAAAATATATATCTTTCAAAATTGAAACATTTTGAAAAATGTCTGCTTTCCTATCAGAAACAGACTACTTGGTTGATTGAAAACTATTTTACATCTAAATTCTCCAGAAAAGTAAGATTTGTTGACGTAGTTGTAATGAAGTTCTTAGAGGGAAATGAAATTTCCATTTGAAGAAAACGATGTCTAGCACTAAATAAAAACGTGCTGCCAAAATTACCACTGCCTGCAGGTAAAGATTGAACATTCTTGGTGGATATCTTTTTTTTTTTTTTTTTTGTGCTTCATGCTTCAGATGTAGGTGTTGGATATGAGCAAAGCTCTAACAAGGGATCTGTCTGGCAAGAATGTTGAAATTTGTGGACTATATTCTGCGTGTCAGCATAAGACTTGCGCTTAATAGGGTTGAACTCTGTGTAGCAATTTTATATTATCACAGTAGCACAATATGCATGAGGCGGAAAGCTCACGGTTCTGCATTAAATGTTAGCTAATTATGATTCAGACTCTTTATGCCTGTAATGAATCTTTTGGCAGTTGTTGTTTAATGCAACATAAACAGTTTTATAAGGTACAGAGGGAGTGATGGCGGTCAGGTCATTAAGAAACTACAATTAAGAAGTTTCAATCCCAAAACCACAGATATCACCCACAAGCAACTTTTTCAATCAAACATTGTTGTTGTGATGGAAATCATGAACTTTTTTTTTCCCGGTAGATTGATAGAATATCAATTATCTGAGAGCTACGTTTGCTATAAACACAAAGCCGAAAGATTTTGCACAAACTTGCAGTTTTCTGACCATCACTGATTGCAAAAGGGGGAAAGAAAGGGGACAGTAGCTCATTTTCAGACCTTTGTGGAGGTAGATGAGATTGGTGGATAACGTCAGTTTCACATTGGCCAACTACCCAAAATTAATGAAATAGTCGTATGCCAATAAAAGGAAGCTACCTTATTTTATAGTCTTTAATTCCTCTACAGTGAGTCCTTATGTGCTCAGGCCTGTGTCTGTGATGGAAATATCTCATTTTGTCCTTTTGAATGTAGTTCTCACGATTAATAGCTGAAAGTGCAGATCGGTCTCCTGAAGTTTAAAGGCGACTCATGAAAATGAGGCACACTGAATGTGTCTCGCGGTGCTCGTCTCTGCAGACTAATGGAAATACACAGGCTTGGAAGTATTTCTATAAATAAAACTATGTTAATTGTGCCGTTCCTTTGTGTTCTGCTGCACTTGTTCTGTGTTTTTAGCTTCGATTCCGTTTGATTTTATTAAAAGCTGCCTCAGTTATCCGCAGGGTTATGCGGCTGATCTTGTGAATCCTAAAATATCAGCACTTTTACCTCGAGACACGTAGCGGGGCTTTCGTTGAGCTTCTGCATCATTTGTTTTTCATAACCTGCTCGTTTCTGTTTGTTTGTGTTGGCTCTCACCCACCTGCTTGTGTTCCTTGTAGCAGCAGCTCCAGGCTCACCAGCTGTCCCAGCTTCAGGGCCTGGCCTTGCCCATGACCCCGCTGCCTCTGGGCCTGAGCCAGCCAACGCTGCCAGCCGTCACCACTTCCTCCGGTCTCTTCTCGCTGTCTTCTCTGCTGGCCTCCCAGGCCCAGCTGGCCAAGGAGGAGAAGGCTTCTCGCGACGGCGTGGACAGCCACCGTGAGGAGGACGGAGACAAGTCTGATTAGGTCTTGTCTCCATGCCGGCTCTTTTATCATAGAGACATGAATTCCCAGATCTGTCCCTGCAGCCTCGCCCGTGGTTGTCCCCTTTTTGACCTTACTCAACATGGGGTTTCTTTCTTCCGCGCAGCTTCAGCTTTAGACCCCTAAACTTTCCCCTTCTGGGAAAAGCTTTGGCACTCATATTACAGTAACTAAATTAAAATAATAGTAGATTTTCTGTTTTGGTTTAAGATGGACTTTTTCCCTGTTCACTTTAGGGATAGCTTTTTTTTTTTTTTTTTTTTGATTTGCCATCTTTATATTTTAGTTTCTGCATTCTTCTTTAGTCCAGGTTCTTTTGCTCCCACTCTGCTCCTCCTCTGGTTTGGCAGGACTGATCCGTCAGACTGCATAAATCCCTCAGCTGGCGTTGAAACAAGCAAGCAAAGAGATCCATGACAAACGTCAACACAGGTATCTTCCAAAATCCAGTCACTTAAAATAAGGTTGTTATTAATATACTGGACTTTTTAAAATTGCATGAATTTGTTTTGAGTTTTATGTGGGCTGTGAGTTTAGTGGGTCGTCACAGATGAAATAAATGTTTAAGCTTCTCTCATGCCGCAGCCTTCATCGAAAAATACTTTGATCCTAAATTCTCCTCCCATGCAAGAACTCACCAACTGGAAATTCAAAGTTTTTTTTTTTTTTCAAAATGTAACATTCATCTGGTGTTGGGGAAGTGGTAGGCGGGGCGGGAACAAGCCGCTTATTTAAATTATTTTAGTTGTTTCCTGACATTATGAAAATGGATAACTTTTTTACATTTTCTCATGTTGCAGCCCCAGACATCAATGCCTCAAAATTAGTCCATAATCGTGAAGTGGAAATAAAATGACACATGGCTTTTTATTTTCCTTTTTTTTTTTTATTTGGAAAAATATGGTGTGCATTTGTATTCAGACCCCTTGTCTCTAATGTCTCTCTACACATAATGTAATGTAGCTATTTTTACCTCCAGAAGTCACCTGATCAGTGAACAGAGTGCACCGGTAGGTCATTTAATCTCTTTTAAAACAGAACATTAGTGAACATACAGCGCCGTGAAGACCAGTGAACACAGCAGACGAGTTGGGGAGAAAGATGTAGGGAAGTTTAAATTCTTACAGTCTGAATTTATCTAATTTATGTAAAATAAGTTGTTGTTTTTTTTTTCCCCAGGCATATGCGAAATTGACTAAAATGTGTTATGAGTATATTACATAGAGTGGATTATTCTTTACGCATTTCCTCAATGGTGTCAAATTGTCTCTAATGTGGTCCTTACTATATTTATCCAATAACTATCAGCTGGGAGTAATTAGAAACAGACCACCTTGAAATTAACACCAGAACTGAATTAAGGCAAATTACACTTAATAGTTTACATGGGATTAAAGCAAGGTTAGACTACAAAAACAGATTTTTTTTCACTTATGGGAAAATGTCTTGTTATAAAGGGGGAAAAAAACAAAAAACTAGTTAAGACAAAACTAACTGTTTAGCAAGATGTAGAAGTTTGTTTTATTTCAAGCGTACAAAGATATTTCTACTAGAAACTAGACAAAAATACTTGGTGAGATTTTGTGTTTCTTCGGTGATATGATTAATGTTGAGCTGTTTTGCGAAGAAAAACGGGGCATGGTAATTCTGTCCACATGTGCAAAGCTGGTAGAGATGAATCCCAAAAGACTTGCAGACGTAATGGCAGTAAAATCTGTTTCTATGAAGTATTAATTCAAGGTGATTGAACATAAATGCACAGCTCACAATTTAGGATATGTAAAAAAAAAACAACTATATATCCTTTTCCTTGCACATAAAGATTATTGACTGATTTGTTTTGGCTATGAAAAACATTTTAAGGGGTATTGATACTGTACCTTTGCCAGGTTCTATACATTAGATTACCCACCCAGTACCTTAACCAAGAGGCATCATCAATCAGAGCTGTGGTAACTTAAACTGCAAGCGAAACAACTGAAACCACCTCAGTTCTCTGCTCCTCTGTCAGCTTTTTTTTCATATTTAATGTGCACTTATATTGGAGCAGACACTAAGGGGAGGGAGTGTGGTGTGTGTTTGACAGCAGAGGGCAGCGCACGCCTTTGAACAATCCTCCTAAGGTTTTTGCTTCTACAAGAACCAAGGACAAGACAACGGCAGCGTACAGGCCAAGTCTGATGGGGAATAGTTTATTTATTAGCTCTGAGCGTACCAACGTATTGTACATGAACTGGATTGTGGATGTTTACCTCTACTGCGGTCCTTCAGTTTGTGTGGCTCTCTAAATTATCTCTTGATGAAAACAGAGTCGTAAATAATCTGTTTTCTCGGATTAAACCTCAAGGCGAAAGGATGTTCATGAACTTAAAACAAAAAAGCTGTGGTATGTTTACTGCCCGCCACTTAATGCATGGGAGCGGCAACTTAACATTGTTCAGTACAAAGTGTCACATAGTGGGGAGATATTCTGTTCACCTTAACACCCTTAGCACAAGAAACGATAAATAGCCAGACTAAAAAAAATACATAAAGGCCATAATAAATTATTTCAAAACGTTTTACTGCCGCTGTGAGAAACATCTTGTACGGTTCAACGGAAAAGCAAACCCAAGTGTTTTAAATTGCAAGTTCGTTCTCTAAGATGCAAAAGCGTGGTTGAGTAAGCGTGCACCCTTTGCTGAAGCATCGGTTGGATCCAGTCTAGCAATGTGTCTTTGGTAGGAGTCTTTCAGCAGGCCAAGAGTTGCTTCCACCTTGCAAAACTCCTCCTCTATAAGAGAAGTTCTTTTCCACAGCCCTCTTCAGGTTACCCTTAAGATTTTTTTTTTTGTCAGACTTAGTTTCAGATGCTGTCTAGGTTATTCAAAAACATATGTCTTCTTGTGGTGAAGTCCTTGTCTTGGTAAGCTCTTTCTCAGTGATACTTTATCTTCAGCCTTCAGGCAGTCGTTGGTAGGCTTTGGCTCAAAGCTGAGTGTTATTTTTAACTGTTCAAAATTTCATATGCCTTGACAAATCTAGTCAGAAGAAAGGTGAACCATGAGGCACCAGTGGTCTTTTGGTGATGTACAGTTTTGGGGTGTTTTGCCAAAATGGAGTTGTGGCCCAGAAATTTTGTTCTGCAGGACTCTTTAGGTCTTGTAGAACAAAATCCCAGTAGATTTCATCCAGACTTGGATGTTTTTCTCTGTTCTGTCTTGCAACCCATCTTCTTAGTTACCTAAAGCACAACAGATATTCACTAGAGGTTCCAGTAGCTTCACTGGTGTTGCTGACCCCAGTCCCTGGCCAGTTTCAAAACACACAACTAACTTTGGAGAAATGTAAGCAGCATATTTTCTAAAGCCTTCATCAGACCTAGGTGCATTTGTCATCCTTTGTTTTTTGTTTTTTTGTTTGTTTTTTTGCATTCTTCTCCTGACTGATACCTTTATTGAATTGCACATTTTTGATTCTCTGTATCTGTGCTGAAAGTAACAGCTTTATGTTGAGGATTCAAACTAGCAGAATATTCCAATGAAACCTTTTTTGTTGTAAACGAATCACCTGCGATTTACTGTGTAGTGGTATAAGGGTGTGCACACCTGGACAAGCAGTTTATTTTTTAGTTTGAGTTTTATTCTGGAAAAAAAGCTTTTTTTTCAGTTGAATTGGACATGATATATGTTTTATTAAAACATTTTTAAATGATTTATGCCATCATATTGTTTTACATCCCAAAAAAACAGATTTTTGGAGAAGCGTAGACTTTTGATATTTGCCGTATGCTCGTCCTTTTTTTAAAAACCTTTTATATAGGGCCGTTTGAATGCAGTGTTGACCTGACATATAACCCAAGTATATATGTCAGGTGAATTCACACTCGCTTGAGAAAAGTCTTATCAGAAAACAATAGTGTGTGCATAAATTGTTGCTGTGTAGGGTTTTTGCACTTAAACCCAGGCCGCAGTTATAAATATTGGCTTTCCCAGTAGATTATAAGAGTTAAACTCAAACACTTCAAACACTTCTGAATTTTCAGAAAGGTTTGGCTCTGTGGTAGCTGGATCCCCAGGAATAAGGATCTCGGTTGTAACAACTGAAATTGTAGTTGAACTTTGCAGAAACACACACACTTCCCTTTGTTCTAGTAGCTGAACGGCTCGACCAATCACTGTCTTTGCAGAAGCCACAGTATGGTTTCTGGTAAGATTACTGAACGACTTTTCCACAAAAATGGAGACTCATTTGGACATCTGATGCAGTAGAAAGGGTCAAAATTGACTTAATTGAAAATCACATGGGATTTTCAAACAAGTCCAACAAAGTCTGAATGTCTCCAAAGGTAAACCTTTTCTTTAATTAAGCCTGCAGTTGTATATCTATGTATATACATAGCACATTGTGTATAAACAGGTGTACAGATCTAGTAGTCGGTGATAAACCAATCGAAACTTCTTCACATGCTTGTGAAATAAGCTTGCAGCAAGTTCTCACATGTTGCTTGTATCTTGCTACATCCTTCACTTGTCATAGTGATGCCCAGATGTGTAGACAGAAAGCGAAACACGTCAATGCATGTCTGCAGGGAACAAATTGATTTTGTTCTAGTGGAGAGACTTTTTTTTTTTTTTTTTGAGAAATTTTGTGATCAATGCACTTGATTTTTTTTTTCCCTCCCCGTTTATTTCAAACTGTACTCAATATAACCTAGAAGGAGAACTTCAAAGCCTGTGTTATAATTAAATGAAACTCTATGTATATGTTCAAGTAGTCAAAGGTGCTTGCCTCTCTATACAGTTATACATAGAAAGCTTTATGTGTATATGGCTGCATCTTCTCTCGTCTGTCCTGAATGATTCTTGTGGTGTTGTGTTACAAAAACCGATGTGACACCTGAGGGGAAAAAAAACTGCAGTACATTCACCTTTTTTACCCTTTGACCCTCCCAGCCCCCATCTTCTTTTTTTCATCCTCGGTCTCCCCTTTTTTCCTCCCCGACTTTCTCGCCCTCATAGAGTGAAACATTGTAAGCATTTTGAGCTTTGTAAAGGGTCTTTTTTTTTAAATACTTATTTTGTGTATAATGTAAAACAAAAAAGTGTGTACTTTGACAGAAAAAAAAACATGTGTGTCTGAAACCATAGCTTCATTTAAGCCAAAAAAAAAAGGAAAATAAAAAAGTGCAACAAAAATTTACTATAAATAATGAG